GCGCTGCTGCCGCTGTGTGCGGGCAGCGCGGCCACGGCCGGCCCTTGCCGGCCGTCCGGAAACTACTCTCGAGCAATCTGACTTGAACTGACATAAACTGACATGATATGAGTATAAATACTGAATTTACTTGAAATCATGAAAGTTGCACAATAAACCGATCATGGTCGTGGCGAGCGCACCGTGCGCCGCCGACGGCGTTAGGCCGTCTCTCGACCGACTTGACTTTTATCTCGGCAATTCAACCTCAACTGAACATGAACAATATTTACTGAATAAAATAACATGAAGTGTTCGAAGGACTTGCACTTAACATACTCGTTACAAGTGCCCGGCTCGTGGTGCGCGCTGCGTGCGCGACCACGTCCCTCGGCCGAGTCATCGCACAACATAAACATTCTGCCGAACATCTCAAGCTGAATAAACATGATATTGCACATAACAACTGAATATGCAAAGCTTGTTTGAGATATTTATACCCAAAACATGAATACAATCGCTACGCACTCGCACGGTCGAAAGGCCTAAGGCCGAGTCATGAACATGAACAATTCGAAATTAACATGACCTTAACATGAACAACCCAAGGTAAACGAAGTTACCTCTTGCTCGCTGAACTACACCAGGTACTCCCGACGTTCAGCGCTCGTGCGTGATGCTCGCGTGATGACAGATCGTGTTGTTATCTATATTTGGGTTGTGAATAAACGGCGCACTCAGGGCCTTCGTTTATTCACGATAGGTGTATCTAGCAGACGCACTCAGGGCCTTCTCCTAGACACTGTGACTTCGAGACGCTCTCAGGGCCTTCTCTCCGACACTGTATGTAAACACGCACTGACGGCCTTGTTTATCACACGTTAGAACATAAAGTTCCCCTCTAAATTGGCTCACCAATTCAATACTCAATTCAAGACATAAAATAATGATGAGGTACATGGGGTATTTATAGGTGCCAACTACCTCTAATGCTAATCTTAATAGGAAACTAAAAAAACAATTAAATATTAAATCCTAAGGCAAGTCCTTAAATAGGTGTCGTCCTTTTGACGACACGTCCTTTTGAGTCGTCGTGGCTGTAACGCCCCGTTTGAATTAGAATTATTTGAGATTATTTATTGGTTTATTATTGCCGTTATTATTGCTTATTTATATTATTATTATTATTATTATTATTATTATTATTATTAATGAATATTTATTTGTGATTAAAATGTCTAATTATTTTAAATGCTTATTATCGTGTCGTATTTCTTTTAGCCCGATTGAATTAGTTTCGACCCAAGTAATGTGATTTTTCCAGCCCCATTGGTGGTTTAATCAGTTATGGCCCAATTTGTTTTAGTTTGGCCCAACTAAATTGTTTAACCTTGGCCCAATTTCATTATTATAGCAGATCCGCCTCCTCCCTTCTCTCTCCCTCTCTCTCGCGTCGCAGAAGTCGAATTGGCAGGTGAGATTTTCTCGCGATAGTCCATCGTTCGTTCGTGCATCTCGCTCCCTCTCTACTTAAGACTCGGTGGTGGAGACCTTATCTCGGATTGTCCCAAATCAAATTCGTTTCAAATCCTCCTCTGTAATCTCCCTCTCTCACCGAGCTTGCGCAAATCACCATTGAAACCGGCAAGCAGCAGCTCCATCGCCTGCGTTTCCTCGTCACCATCCCGGTCGTTCTCCGAGCAGGCCCGCTACTGGCGACCACCACGTTGTGTCCAGCCAGCCACCGTCCAGTCCCCGTCGTTGCCAGCCTTCTTTTCGTTCAGAGCCATTGTCTGCCATTGTTTCCGGTGGCCATCTCCGGTCATCGCCGTTGGTCGAATTCCAGCTCTCAAATCGCGAGCAACCGCGCATCGAGCTTCAGTTCTGAGCTTTCGAAGGTGTTGAGCTCTTCGAGTCCCGTTTATCCATACGGCCCGTTTGTCCGACCGTTTTTCTGATTTCTCACAAATTTTCCAAAGAAGGGTAACATTTTCGAAACCCTCTCGTTAATTGCTTTTCAGAGTGATATCATTCGATTATTGTTGGTTCGCGTTGAATCATTTTGTTGGTTTCGAGTTCAATTTATTTGTCGGTTCGTATTCGTTATTTATTTCGTATGCTTCGTGAATTTTTCGTGGAGTTTATTGGACTCTCGTTAATTTCAAATCGACCTCGTATGTTGCTGTGATTATTCGAATAAGATTCAGAGTCTCGTTGTAATTTATTTTGGGGGCGTTTTGTTCGCTTGTTTTCAACTGTGTTTCGGCTCTTCGTTTTTGGAAAACAAAACCCGTTTTTAAAATGTTTCGAAATTCTGAAATTTGATTGTTTAATTAAAACCCCGAACCTGATACCTGCTCGAGCATTGTCGTCGATTTTGGGTGCTTGATTTGCGGCTTCTGTAACTGTTCCCAGCTCTGTTCAGTAATAAATTCGCAGGCCTCATGTTTGAAAAATTAGTATATTTTGTTGCATAATAACTAACGATTGAGCGAGTGGCGCAGTGGTGAGCTATGCGCATGTTTGTGTGGGTGGTCAGGGGTTCGATCCCATCCTTTGCAAAAATTTCATTTTTTTTATTATAGAGCCCAGCAGGGCGCGGGCCGTCCCAACCCGCGAAGCCCGTCATCTCGCCCTGCAGCGGCGCGCGTCCTGGCCCGCGAACCCGATCCCTCTAGCCCGCATTTCCCAGCATTTTCAGGCCTAATTTGCGGCCCAGATACCTTGTGTGGCGGCCCATTTCGCTCCCCAGGCCCAAATTCTGGGCAGCCTTCGGCCCAGTGGCGGGCAGGTGGTCCAAGATGGCCTTCTTAACTATTTTTGTGTTTGAGTAGTCCGTTTTTCGTACCGATTTCGATTTTAAAATTATTTTCAAATGAGAAAAATTTAGAAAAATTATTTTAAGTCCCGAAACTCATATTTTAGTTCTCCGAGTCATA